CAATAGTTAACATTTTTGTAACTTTTTAAACACCTTTAGGCACTAAATATGATTTCGAATGATACCAATAAAACAGCAACACCAGACTGTATAAATAATTCAAAGTTTGATTAAAATCAGAAAAAAACAAGTGACGAATCTGATACCGGATGCATGCGCAACATTTTGGGGTTCGAATATTCAAACCTCAAAGGCTGTACATATGAGCAAGAGAATTTGAAAGTTATCTCTAGAAGAATCGAAAGCTGCTGGGAATTTTCCCTCGTGTTCGCATTAGGAGTAAGTATTTTGTATGGATGTGATTTGTATGTAGTTTCAATCGAAACTCAGCGCACTTTGAGACAAAATTATATTTTAATAATGAGAAGGATGTATTGTATGAAAATTAGAATTGATCATCAAGACTGATCTCACTAATCTTTTATTGTTTATCAACCTTAAGCCGTCTAATGGTCGGCTCTATCTGAGTGGTTCGTTTGCCGACATGTTTTTGAGGGGGATGAGCACTGCGGAATAGTTGAAAGATAAAAGTTCTAGTTTCAGTTCAGCTGTACAAATTCGAAATCAGTTTCACTCATTTGGTAAAATCGTTGAGTGAAGCAATTTAAAGAAGGTGTGATTCAAAATGAGTGAATTGGTAATATTACCAAATGGTAAAAAAGTCGGTCGCAATTGGACAATTGATCGTAAACTTGGTGCTGGTGCGTTTGGAGCTGTGTACAGGTGCATGAATGAAAAAGGAGAATTGTACGCATTAAAGGTTACTGCCAAATTCAACTGTGATTCAATTGGTCACGATTTCAGAACATTCCATTTGCTATGAATGAATGAATATTTTTAGCAAAAGTAGAGGTCTCCAATGACGGTGTAAAAANAATTTCAGGATCTTCGCCTTACGGCTCCATTGCGAAAGTTTAGTCTAGGAACAGCGATCGGAACAGGCATTCAGTGTTTAGAGGCGCTTGAAGATTTACACTCCATTGGTTACTTGCACCGAGACGTTAAACCAGGAAACTACACAATTGGACGCGCTGAACTTAATGAACTCAGAAAGGTTAATTGAGGCAGTGATTACGCTGGTATCTGATTATCTCTCGCGAGGAGTTCATCAAACTAGAAAAGTTAATCTTATTTTACATTCAGATATACGTACTGGACTTTGGGATGTGTCGAAAATTTATTCACGATGACGGAACAATTAAAAAACCCAGAGCAGCTGCGAATTTCAGAGGTTATAATGGAACTTCCGGTGTAATTCATGCATTTTCAACCACTTGATGAATTCAAATGCGTTCTTGTGCCGTAATGGAATTTTCGAACTGAGTCTGAATATGCCAGACATCGAATATTAACATGTTCTCAACACACCACTGAAGCACTGATCACTGAGAGCCATATCATCTAGTTGCAATAGCCATAACATGAAGACCTATTAAGAGGATCGCAATAAGTCGACGGTATTCGTCACCGTTTAGAGGACAAATGAAAATTGCTTGAGAGAATAGTTGTACTGCATGGAGTTGCTCGGTTCTGAAGGTCTGTGCACATCAAATTAGCACTGAATTAATCTGACACAATTGGAAAGCGATTAAATGCAGTGCTCACGATTGTTTCTTTCGACGTTCATAGACTATCGAGATTTTTGTGATGATAATACGTCAGTTTGTGATTATTAAGTTATAAGAGATTTATTCACTTAAATGAGTGAAGGCAATAACCAGTTGCTGATACTGAAATGAATAAAACGAACAAAGTACACGCAAATACAAAAAATTCAGGTACTGTAAAGTATGCATCAATAGCATGTCATATGGAACGAGAATTGTGCCGGTTAGACGATTGTGAAACGTGGCTTTACATGATTGTCGAACTCACGAAGGGAAGTCTTCCATGGAGAAATCTTAGAGTTAGATAACATTGTCCTTATGTTTGCAGGAATTCATCGAGTTCCTGAAATGATTGTTTCTTGTTGAAAGCATTCGAATGCTGCAGGAAAAAGTTTTTTTTTGTGTCAACACTATAGACATAAACTTTATGCTCGCATAGAAATCAGTGAATGTTCTCACTAAAAGCATTTGTTCACACCATTTTTTGAACTTTCTTTTGCAACGATAATTCATTATTTACACATGATTTCCCAAGGATTAGTGGTCAATTCCGTAACGAAAAGATCAAAATTGTCAAAAATGACATTTTCATGCAAGTCATTATCGATGTCATGAAGTCGTGTTTATTAAACGGACTCCAGAACACTTGCAGAGTATGGAAGAGATAGGTAGATTCAAAAAGAGCTGTCGTTCCGATATTTCAATGAGACAGTTATTTGGTGGATGTCCACGTGAATATATTGATATTATGCGACTTATTGACGGTGGCAAGTTCTTCGATGAGCCGAAATATGCTCAAATATATTCGATTCTACGTAAAGCGCTCCTCAACTTGGGTGTGCAGGTACATACATATCTCATTTTTACTAATTGTAAGTATGTACATGTTCTTATCATTCACAATGCTCCTGAAAATTTTGTCGGTGCTTGAAATTCCCTGTCCAGTGGCATGTAATTAAGACTTGAATTCTTCTGACCTGATAACGTTCAATGTTCTCGGTCAACATACTGCGTGTATCTTCTTCGTTTTTCAACAAACACGTCAACGGATTTCCGCTTTCAGGAGTTTCCTTATGACTGGGAGGAAGAAGAGGAACGCAAATTGGAAGAGAGTAGATGCATGGACAGAGATGAGATGCAAGTGAAGGAGAAGAAGGAGGAACATGAAAGGAAAGAGAGGAAGGACAAAGAGGAAGAAGAGGAAGGAGGAAGATTCTGAAATTCGCATTCATCAATAGGTCATCATTATTCTGTTCCGATGGGACAGTATCACAAAACAAGTCATTTGCATTGTTTTATTCATTTAATGATGTGTTTATAAAAATTAGCATTTGCATGTATAAACAATTTACTATTAATCATATTACATCTGTTCAACAAAAATATCTCCCAACAATAATTTTTCTCAATTGTTGAAACAGTCTTATGATCACTCTGAATGAACAAAATCGAGAACTGTAGAAAATGTGCGGCTCTTTCCATTATTCACTTCTTGAAGACTGTTTCAACAAATTGAGCGCTTTAAGCTCCAGGGAATGTATCAAAGTGACCTCAAAATTCAAACTTGGGTCTGTTTAGTAACATTCTCAACCAAAAAAAACTTCCTCGAACGTTTTTAACACAGCTCAACAAATTCTTGAGGCTACGCTCGATTGAATTCTGTGAGGATGACCCGAGTGAATAACAATTCTTCACAGTTTAAACTTATTGTCTCAGAAGGAATTCAATCACCAGAATGAAAGTCAACAACTCCCAGCGATTTTAACAAATGATTCAAATAAAACTTCTATAATAACAACAACATGATGAAATTGAAAATTTCAAATAATATCACACGACATCGATTTAGCCTTAGTGCCCATAATAAGGAATTACATATATATTTATATACACATACCATAGAAAGAAAACATGTTAATCAATAAAAAACCGAAAAGACAACAAAAACAACGCAAAATACAGTTCTTTCGTTCCAACTTATCTCCAACTGAGAACCAAATTTAAAATGAGTTGCTAGACAAGAAAAAGTGGAGAAAGGGGAATTGGAAAGTGATGTTGATCGGAATAAGAATACTTATNAACGTTCACAAGACGATTTAAAACAGTAACATTTATAAGGATGAAGTGATTATGAAAAGAAACACAGAGATCCTGGACAACCGACATTCAACAAATCACATTCAATGAACACAATTTAAAATTCTTTCTAAAAAGTCTATCATGCTGTGAAATGGTCGTTTGCAATCAACTGAGAATCGGTCAGCTCGATGCAAATGATACTCTTGAGCAGAATATCGAAAATCCTCATTGAACAAAGATGCACAAACAGTGCGATACATATTATGTCAACAATACGGTCTTAAATTATTCGTGTCGCTATGCCCAAGAGTGAATAAACCACTGAACCAAGAACGCACTGTGCTGACGCGAAAACAAAGACGTATGACCAATTGTTTTCGGTTTCGTGAAGAATATATCCAGCAACATAAACACCAATGAAACCAGTGACGGATGAGAAGGAATTGAATATACCTGAAGAACAAGGAAAACTGAATATAATAACTGAGCCGTATTCAACGACTTAGTCTATAATAACCAACTGTAACTCTCGCTGAAATTATTCAACACCTTTGGTTAATTTGTGAACACTTCTGTTCAGTAGAAATATATTCCAGAATCACGAATTTAACAAAAACACATATCATAAACTATTCGAAATGCATCATGAACAAAACAATAGAGCAAACCGAAAACAGCGCCCGTATGCTGCGGTGCTAAGTCGCACGGATTCACACAAACGCCCCCGTGATGTAAACCTCGTGCGGCCATTGCAAGCGTGAACAAAAGTAACGACGAAGAAAACTGTGATGACCAAGTAACGAGGAATAAACACAAAGCCATCGATGCCAACGAGACGCCCTGAACAGTAGGAATGACCAAAAATGTTTTCAAGACACTTCGATAAACGAAACTGACAAATAAATAGTGTCAGAAAAAAATGAGAGCGAATGCAAACCAAAATTTACTTCCATAATTCGTCGCGTATACGTTAGCGAATGAATTTTATTGAACAATCGTGTTGCCATGAAGGGCGCAAGAAACGAAGTGAACACAATTGCAGTGGATGGCACAACATTATAAACGACTCCTTTTGCATTCGGAAAGTTATCCGAAAAATATGACGGTAACCAACTGAACATCGTATAGTATGCATTCGCACCACAATACTGCGCTACTGCTGCCGCCCTAAAGCAGTCAACAATTGTTTTAAACGCATCAATCGATAGATCCACTCTTAAATAAACTTAGGCATATTCGGAAAATGAACACAAAATCGTTTTAAAAGTGATACGACATCAAAAAAA